TTGGTAGCAAATATAATTGATTTAATCAATACGATTTGTTATTTTCACTGGCTTATAAAAAGGAACCTAAAATAAACTAAGATGCTTTCTTTGCAGGTCAGCAGCCTGGAAAAGTCCTCCTGATCTCATAAAATAGATCGTGTCTTTCTTCATTTCCCACTGTCTCCCCTCGGGGTACTGGTTGACAACATACTGAACTTATTAAAAAAAATAATAATAAGGTTTTTTTTTTCCCAGTTCCAGGAAGTTTTGCTATAATTGAATCTCCTCCAGTGAATTTGGGTAAAGCTGTCATTTCTCCCACAAGTTCTGTCTCACTGGGAGCCCCCTATTCTGAGAGTTCTGTCTGTTCCTTCTCCCTCTGGCTCCAAGGTCCCTTATTATTTTTCTCTTGCCTACTCATGGCACCTTTCACTCTCTGGCCATGGGTCAAGCAGAGAAATACCTTAAGGCACTACCAGCGGTGGAGGGCCAGCAGTCTCCTGTAGTCTAGCCACATACCAAGCTGCCAAGCAGTGGCACTTACTTGGAGGCACTTGAACAAAGGTCTTCAATTCCTGTCTCCCCAGCTGTACAGCCCTCTCCTAGCCTTGGAGATAGGGAGGTAATCAGGCTCCTCTGGTCCAGAGAAAGCAGCAAGCTACCATATACAAGAGCAGGCTCTGCCCTTCCTCTCTGAAGTCCCATGAATCTCCAAGGCCAAGATCTCTCCAGAAATTAAGGAATTTTAATTCTCACTCCAGGCCTCTTCCCCATGGTCTCCAGGCCCTTATGTGGTCCACAGAGGAACAAAGTCTAGTACTGCTGTCTTACTCTAACCCTGGGTGATCCAAAAACCTTCCCCTTCTGGGTCCAAGCAACTTGTGGCACTGCACTCTATTGGGGAAAGGTAGTCAGTAGATGGACGGGGCTTGGGAGGAAGAAAGAACAGCAGGGACTGGGAATCAGGTGTCCTCACCAATACCCAGACATTCAGATCATAAACAAAACCTTGTAACAAACCTGAACACTTTTCTGATCATTTCCTTACGGAAAATTCCTAGAATATTGGTTAAAATGATTTTAAATTAACCATATTTTAATTTGGAAAACAAACCCTAGACTGCATGCCAGAGAGGTTTTACCCATTCATTTTCATACCAAAAGTTGGGAAGGGGCCGGCCCCGTGGCTCACTAGGGTGAGTGCAGTGCTGTTAGTGCTGAGGCCGTGGGTTCGGATCCTACATAGGGATGGCCAGTGTGCTCACTGGCTGAGTGTGGTGCGGACGACACCAAGCTGAGGGTTGCGATCCCCTTACTGGTAAAAAAAAAAAAAAAAAAAAAAAAAGAGTTGGGAAGACTCCACACCCCTTACAGCAGGGCAAGTGGCCCACACTGTCACCAACATGGGGTATTATTCTTTACTTCTCTGCAATCTAAGTAAGAAAAAGTCATTGTTTTAATGTGCATTTCTTAGTAAGTTTGATCGTTTTTCTATTTTTATGAACCATTTATATTTTATCTTTACATAATGATTTTTACAGATGTGTCCAACATGATATTTTGGTTTACCTTGGGGGGCATTTGCTAACATTAAGCACTGTTTTAGAAATAATGCATGCTGGGCTGGCCCGTGGCTCACTTGGGAGAGTGTGGTGCTGATAACACCAAGGCCACGGATTTGGATCCCTATATAGGGACGGCTGGTTAGCTCACTTAGGAGAGTGTGGTGTTGACAACACCAAGTCAAGGGTTAAGATCACCTTACCAGTCATCTTTAAAGAAAAAAAAAGAAAGAAAGAAATAATGCATGCTTGTGCTAAGTTTTTAAAAAGCATAACAAAAGGTTATATGGCAAAACATAAGTTTCCCTCCCTCCGACTCTGAGTGTCAGAGTTCACCAGGTAACCATTGCTACCAGTTTCCTGGTATCTTTCAGAGACACTGTCTACATAGACAATTACTGATATTTTCATAAATAAAAAGCAAGTGTCAGCAAGATGGGAGCCAAGCTTGGATATGGGATTGTTTTCCTTCTTTCCTCACTTAAAGAGAGCCAACCACTCTGGATAGAAATGGCGACTGAGACGCACTCTTTGCCTTTCAGTCTATGTGTGATTGCACGTGGTTTGATAAGGATTTCAACAGAGGTGTTTGCTGTACAAACGAGAATGGAACTTCTAGAATGGAATGAGTGAATGCCTATTTGCTAAGCGTCTGCTATGTGCTAAATGCTGCTGATATTCCCTTTCTGTACTCATTTACTTCCCCAATGACCCTGAAAGATATGTACTCTCCATTTTATAAAAGATGAAACACTTTCCCAAAGTCACTATAGCATGCAGAATGATGCTCTTCTGCCCAGGGGCAGCCCTGAGCACCGCTCATGAAAGATGAAAGCTATGAAAGGAACAAACTGGTCCATCGGAAAGGCCATGATGCCTTCCCTTGGATCACAATGTTTCTGACTTAACCAGGAGGAAAGCCATACATTCCCCAAAACAACCTTTCCAGGCAGACTCCTGAAAACATTTTCCCTACAGTGCCAGAAACAAATCACGAACAAGCCACTTGATGGAAAGCCATCTAGACAGCTTGTTGACCAGCATCTTCTCTGCCTGAGAGGACTCTCGACCACCCTGGGAGCACTAGTGGAAGAGCAGAAAGGCTCCATGAGACTGGCATGAGGTGGAGTGGATTATTCCAACTTGTAGTTCTGGAGGGTTTGGCATGGATCAAAACCAGTACAACCAGGAACCAAATATGTTGCTTCCAAAGAAATTCTCCTTTGGTGTAAAATGTTACAAGTGTGTAAGATGGAACACCAAAGATGATACTGCTTCCTGCAATCAGAACCAAGACAGAGGTGGCAGAGGACGACCATGTGGCCACATAGCCCAGTCTCAGAGGATCAGTGTGGTACAATGGGAGGGTCTGGTTCTCCACTAATATTGTCAGCGTACCCTAAGACTGGGCTTACCAATCAGACTCACGAATGACTGATGCTTAAACCAAATGCTTGTTTGCTTGTTTATAGTTAGAGTGTCAGGAATACTCATATCCCTGTTTTACTTATCAAAAAAAATATACTCATTTACCCAAATGAAAGCATTTGTTTTACCAAAACCCCTCTATTATTCAGTACTAACAATTAAAAAAAAATTTTTTTGACAGGTCAAAAATGGGTTTCATTTAAGTAGATTTCCTCTGACTATGAAGACATCATTCAAGTAGGACCCAGAAGGTTTTGACTCACTCCCTGGAACTCTTCTCCCCATTCAGGCTGGCTCTGTGTCTCTTTCCTACAGGTACAGCCTTTCTGTATGCCGCAGGGGAGAAAGAGGCAAGGCCATCACTTTACTGGTGGCCATCCCATCTCTGTAACTCTTAGACCAGTGAGTCTCAGACAATTAAACCCCTGATCTCAGATGTCTCAATCATATGGGCACTTTGTGGGAAAAATTAGTTATATAAGCATGCAGTCCTCTAACCTACTATCCGACTCATCATGTTCTCTCTGTCCTCACTGCGTCAACCCTGCATTTGCTATAGATCTCATTCCCCTCTGAGAGTCTCTGGCTGCAGCTTCCAGTCACAAGAACTAATCAGTACTAGTAGGTCCAGAATCTTTCTCTGGAAGCATCTCTGACCTCGGTAACTGAAAAAGAATTCTGCTGGAGTTGACATAGAGAAAAGCCAGTTTCTGGGAATGGAACTGATGTGTTGGAGGTACGTTTTAGAGCCCTGAGCCCTTTTCTGATGAAGAGACTTCTGCAACATATATATTCTGGATTGGTCTAGCCTGTGGGAAAGTTTGTACTTATCCTTTTCCCACATGTGTTTGAAGCACCTTTCTCCTTGTCCTGGGATTCCCACGTGTTTCCTTTGGGACTCATTCCAATAAGGCCTATCTCTTAAATAGTTGTCAACAGATTCACTTGTGGCATACACTGTTAGTTACCTATCTGACATCTTTTCTATTTCCCCTTTTTTATTTTCCAACATGGCCCTGATGTTGTGCAGGTAGATGGTCAGGGGAGGCTGGTCCTTCCCTCAGTGTCAGGATGGGCACATGACACAATACATGTTTGCATGTATTTTTTGGATTCCACTGTCACTTTCACCAACATGCTAAGGATGGCAGAGGAAAAACATGGAAGCATTCGTACCTTGGTGGTGTCACTGAGCCACTGAATTAACTGACTTGTAACTGCCTTATCTTTGAACATTGCTTTGTTGGGTTTTCTGTTACACCTGAAACTATCCTATTTGATATTGCACCAAATCACACTACTTAAGTCGTCAACTCATAATGTTGTTTTAATAACCATGCAACCCATTCACTGAATAACCTTACAGGTACAGGCAGGTGCCTAGCACTAGAATAAGAAAATATGTCGAGACTTAGACTTTTTTACCAAGGATAACTTATCTTTTTCTCCCCCCCCCACCAAAAACCTTTGTAAACCAACAATTTCTTAAACTTACGTTATCTTATAATCTTTTAAATTACTCTCTGAGGTAGCTAGGCACTCTGAGCTCTTTGCAGCTGAGGAAAGCATAGATGTAAAATGGCCAAGATCACCCAAGCAATTAGTGGCAGAGCTTGGGAAGGAGCCCAATTTTGTGATTCCAAAACTCTACACCACTGCACCCAGTGTCAGTGTACACAAGAAATGTCTGGCACTAGGGCAGGTCGAACGTGAGGTATTAAGAGGCAAACAACGTCCCGCGAAGTCAACCAACGGTTCTACTCCCGCTGGAGACCCGCTGCAGCCGCGGGGGACAATCACAATGCCCTTAGAACACCTTGGGTCGAAGACCAGCAACCCGGCCTACATCAGTCTAAACCCTGTAACTGTAGCAGAAGACACCCCTACGCATGCCACGGCCCCGCAATGCGCTTAAGGCACAGAGGACTACTCAGGCCAAGGCTAGGCCCAAGATCCCAGGCCTCTCATTCCCCTCACCCCGGCCAGACTCAAATCTCAGGCCCACAGGGCACTGCCAGCCGAACCCACATTTTGTTACCGACTCTCTTTCGAATTCCGGAGTCTCCCTGTCTTCTGGCTTTCCTTTTTCTGGAAAACATGACGTCCCTCAGGGATCACCCGAACACTTCACTCCAGCCGGTCAGTAGGCCTAGAGCTCACCAGGGAGACCCCTCCAGCGGAACCGGAAACACTTGCTTGGATCCTCGGCTAAGGTGCTCGATTGGCCAACACAAAAGAAGCCCTGCCCCCTCGAAGCACGCTGGCCAATCAAAGGACAGGCTGGCGGATGCAGCGGGGGCGGGCCGCTTCCGGCCGTTTCCCCGCAGCCACTGCGTAGGGGAGCATGGGAGCGTGGGCGTTTTGCTTTGGTGGCAGCCTCGGTGGTCTCAGCTTCAGTGGTTGCGTCACAGTCTGGAGTCGCCTTCTGCTGCTTTTGCCTGGGTAGCGTGAGGCTTTCATTAGTCCTGGAGCGGTAAGTGGGCCTTTTTCGAGGCTGGGCCGGAGAGAAAAACAGTCGCCTTAGGTTCTTAAAGGAGATTGGGGGAATAGAGAGAGACTGGGGGTACGTGGAGGGGCTTTGCAGCCCGATTGGCCCCTGCAAGGACTATTCACTCTCCTCGCAGCTTTGTCCTGAAGTCCCTGTGGCGTCTTGAAGAAAGCATCCCCTCCTACACTCCCCTACATGGAGTCCACGCTCCCGACAACAGAGTCCCAGGTAAGACAAGGTACATTTTTCCTGTCCGGATTCGGTACCTACTTTCCGGCCTCTGCCGACCTCTCCCTTTGCAGGAGAGTTTGGCATGGCTGTCGTGATGGGAGTGAGCCTGAACCCCAAGTAGCCCTTTCCTCAATAGTCCTTTTCCTTCGTCTTGGTCCCTAGATGAGGCACGTAGAAGAAGTGGTTTACCGGCTTCTTCCTTTCAGAATCACCAACTGGGAGCAGAGCCCTCTGGAGGAGTCTGTAACAGAGTTTCTCAAAGTATCTTTGTGGAATGCTTCTCAAGCTTGCAGTAGGCTTCATTCCACTGTTGAATAATAATAATGCCCAGGTGATTCTGAATCACACCAAAGTTCTATTGACTTACAGGACCAGTAAATGTAGGGAAGGAGGAGTAGGCTTGGTTGAACTGCAGGAGAGCTTAGTAATGAGTGAACTCGGGAAGAAAGAGAGGAAATAGCAAAGGGAAGGATGTTGGGAGAACCCTAGAACCTCTGTCTCGTTAATGATTCTTCCTGGGCTGCCTAGTCTTCTCCTTTTTCTTAGAGCATCTTTTTTTTTTTTTTGTGGCTGTCCTGTGTAGGGATCTGAACCCATGACCTTGGTGTTTTAAAGATGAGCATAGAACATCCTTACTTAATGGTTTCCCTCCCCCAAGAGATGTTCCCTCATCTTTTCCTGGAGAGACTACATTTTCACAGTGTACTATCTTTATCTTTATATCACTGCCTCAAAATTTATGTCCATGTTTTACTCTCTCCTTCCTAACCCCTACTCCACCCCTTAGAATCCATTTATACCCTATTCCAACACTGGGGAGCCTTTTACACAAAACCCTTTTTTACCTTACATCTTCTGTTTTTAGCTCTTCCCAGCCTTCCTAGACTGAGTTGAGAGGCTGACTCTCCAGCCTCTTGTACTGAGATGGGCTCTCGTGTTGTTTCAGGGACCAATGCTGTTTGAGGATCTGGCTGTGTATTTTTCTCAAGAGGAATGTGTGAGTCTGGGCCCTGCCCAGAGGCCCCTCAGCAGAGATGGAACACAGGAATGTTTTGAGGATGTGCCCTTGATGGGTAAGGCAATTGTCTTTCCTGCATTTTGGAACTTTTGTCAGTTTAAGAATGAAAATTTCATGCCTTGTCCACATGTTGGTATGGTGGAATGGGAACTGTCCCTGGGCGATTGATGTGGATATGATAAGTTGCATGAGAGAACAAGTTTGATAGTATGAGATTATTTCTACAAGATAAAAATCCAGTATAGTACAGTGACAGTGGTTTCACATAAGCAGTGGCAAACCTGGTAATCTTCCCAAATATTTGTTATAGTCAGTTTACAGTTTTCCTTGGGAAACCCCATTAATACAGATTATTATCATTTGCTAATATCAGAAATCGATTTACTTTTATGTGGATGTTATGCCTTTCTCACTTAAGGGGAACTGTATGTAGAGGTATTCCTATGCCTGAGTAGATTTTATCTCTGAGTAGGGTTGAGTATCTAAACTATTCCATGACTCATATTTTCTGCTTCTCTGTTCCTCATGTTCATGTTTTCCTCTGTTTTCTTGAACATACGGAGGATTTTCATAATAGGTATTTTAACATTTATTTCTTTATTTTTGATTGTACATTATGGGGTGCAGAGTTGACTATTAGTATTTCTTTACAGTATGTGATGATCAAATCAGTGTATTTTAACATTTTTATGCTAGTTTTATCATTTCTGTCATTTCTGTGTTTCTATTGATTGAATTTTTTCTCCTAGTTATGGGTCATATTTCCCTGCTTCTTTACATGTCTGGTAATTTTTGATTGGATGTTGGACATTGTGAGTTTTATGATGTTGGATGATGGATTTCGTTTCATTTAAAAAAATGTTTTTGGACTTTGTTGTGGGATGCAGTTAAGTTACTTGGGATCAGTTCAGTCCTTTCAAGGTTTACTTTTTTGCTTTCTTGGGGTTCTGATCAGTTATTAGGGATGATTTGGCCTACTGCTAAAGCAGTGTTTTTGTAAACACTGTGTTAGAGTGCCCTTCCACTTTGGGTGGTAAGAACATGAACTATTGTGTGAACTCTGGGTATTGTTCTGTATATTTCTTTTTGGTGGTTCTTCCCATGTCCTTGGGTAGTTTCCTCATGCACTGGTAGTCAGCCAAAGTCTTAAGGGGACCCTTGAGCTCTTTCTGGGCAGCTGATTTTTCTCTGTTACTTTACTCTCAAATTTTAGCTGTCTTGGCTTCCCTGATCCCTGAACTCGGTCTCCTCAAATCAGCAAAACCACTGGGTACTATGTGGATTTCCATGTACTATACTGCGGCCCAGAAACCTTTTCCAGTCAGTGAGTTGGGACAATTATAGGACTTTGTTTCTTTGAAAGGAAAAGCCCTTTTTGTATTGGTATATTGGCTTTATAAATGAAGAATATTTGTAAAAATATTAAAAAGGAATGCTTTTGGCAGGCCCAAGTTTTGTCAGCCAGCCTTGCATTAACACTGGCTATTATTTGCCTGCTGTACACACAGTAGCTCTACCTTGATCTTTCCTCAGTGAGGAGTAAAGAAATTTTGGGGACCTCTCCTGTTGATGATAAAACTATTTCTGGTAACTTGTGTGTTCCTCTGTTGAGGTAGAAAAAGATTCACTTGACCTTTTCTTGATAAATATGAATCTCAATCTTTATTCCAATTAGGATTGCTCATCTGTCACTTGAGATAGCTTAAGTGATGAAAAGCTACAGTGATGAGACCCAAACAGACTAAACAATGCGATCTAATCAATCTAACTGGAAAACTCCACCTCTAGACAATGTCTATCAAGATTATCCTTAGTGCCTATGCTGTTGGACCCTGACTTAATTATAACTATTCTGTGCTCCTTCCCCTTGCAGATTCACCTAGAACTGGATCTTCTGGGAAGCCAGGAACCTGCTGGCTCCTGATTTTGTATATTTGTCAGTGTCAGGGTTATAGGATAACCCATCTATAGCTTCCTGGTCCTCTGTGTAACTACGTTAGCATGTTCTTTCCCCAGTATCACATGAAGGTGTTGTCTATATTTTTCTTTGTTTTGTTTTTACCAACAGGAGAGGAAAGCAAGACTGAGATTAACCAGCAGTTAAGTCTAGAGTCTATGGAACTTGAAGAGCTTGACTTAGAAAAGTACTCCATTGCTGCGCCCCTTGACCATTACCTAGAAAAATCCTCTGAGGATGAAGTTGGAAACCCTGAAAGGAAAATATCAGGTGGAACTTCCATCTGCAAGAAAAAGTTCATAAGCCTTTCAGTTACCATTGAAAACCACACCCCATTAGTAGAACTATCTCAATGTTTAGGAATCAGAACACTTTCTGAAATTCTTGAAATTCCCTGGGAAGAAGCCAAAACGGTGTACAAATGTTCTGAATGTGACCAAAGTTTCACTGATAATTCATACTTTGTTTTGCATCAGAAAATTCATTCGGGAGGGAAAAAATATAAATGTGGTGACTGTGGGAAGATTTTCAATCATAGAGCCAACCTGCGGACACATAGGAGAATTCATACTGGTGAGAAGCCGTATAAGTGTGCCGAGTGCGGTACCAGCTTCCGCCAGCCCTCACATCTGTCCCGGCACATGAATAGCCATGTAAAGGAGAAACGCTATACATGTGGCATATGTGGGAGAGGTTTTATGTGGCTTCCAGGACTGGCACAGCATCAGAAAAGCCATACTCCCGTAAAAGCCTATGAGTGTGCTAAAGGTGGTAAATATTTTGGTGAGAAAACACATCTTGCTTTGCATGAGAAAACACACACATCAGTCACCCAGTACCAGCACACTCAGTGTGTGAAGAGCTTTAGGCAGCCCTCACACCCTGCCCTCTCCGAGAAGGGCCAGGAGGATGATTCTGAATGCTGCAGCGATGATTTTGAAAATTTTTTCTCGTTTGCAAAGTTCAAACCCTTACAATGTTCTGAGTGTGATATGACTTTTCCTTCTTTCTCTGAGCTTATTTCCCATCAGAACATTCATACAGAGGAAAAGCCCCATACATGCAAAACATGCACAAGAAGTTTTACTTCAGACTCAGAACTTGCACGCCACCAGAGGAGCCACACAGGAGAGGAACCTTTTAAGTGTACCGTGTGTGGGAAAAGTTTCAGGGTGAATGTGCATCTCATTACTCACAAGCAAACCCATATGAAAAACACCGTGTGAATATAACAAGTTTCTGTTAAAGCTTGGGCTTTTCAGTATCTATACGGTGGAAAATAGTTCCTGTTTATGTGCCAGGCGCTGTGATAAGCACTTTATCCACATTCCACGTAATCTCACTACAACCTTGATTTAGGCAGCATTATTTCCATTTTATAGCTGAAGAAGCATACTCAATGTCATAAAGCTAATGAGTGAAACCAGGATTCAAACTTAGTTACTATTCAAATACCATTTGTATGAGCCAGAGAAAGAGAACTTTAAAAATTTTTTTAGTTTTCATTAAGACCAAGGCTTTTGCTAGAGTTCTTTTAATTTTGTTTATGTGGTTTTTAAGTAAGCTTTAGAAGGAGGAGAGTTTATTTATTTTCTACCAGTACTGCAGAGATAGTATCTAGGAAAGTAAATACTTATTTATCTGTTTTATACTTCTTTTTTTTACTATAATTATTTGAATGTAATTTTTGTATGAGACGATTATTGTTTTACATGTGAATTTCTAGAGTTCAGAAGCTTTTCCCCATCACCCTGTAAAAAGTTCCCAAATGAGTGGACTACTTGATAACTTGATGGCTGTTAGTATCCATGGAGTTCTCATTTTCAGATTTGATGCCAGGGGCAGGTACTGGCATTTATGACCCAAATGTTTGCAATGAGTTTTGGCAGTCTTAACTACAACCCTTTTCTAGAGGCTGGGCTTGACTTGGGGGAGGGGCCGACAGAGGGGGTGGGAATTACTTGCTCCTTTCTAAGGTGATTTGCCTCCAGATCTCTACTGAAGCACATTACCTGTTTTGCTATGAATAATCATGATTTTTTTAGTGAGCATGCTAGGTACTTTAGGTATGTTATCTAATTTATTCTTTATAATAAATCTGTGACAGAGAAGACTGTCCTTGTGTCCTAGTAAGGAAACTGAAGCCCTCAGAGGGTAAAGTGGATACTTTGCCCAGCTCAAAAAAATCACATTGTGGTGAAGCTGGCATTTAAACTTGGTTTTTTTGTGGCTCCGAAGGCCATGCATTCTGCAACACTGCGTTATTTGTTGTCACTCACGCCGTGCATCAGCACTGCAAACAGCCAGGAAGGCCGAGATAGGTGCGTGAGAACAGTCTTCACAGAGGCCACCCTGTGCGATTGCCTCTTGGCATTTTATCTTCACTTTCTTTGCACATCTAAAGCCTGACTTGCGTGTACAATTATAAAGCAACAGAAGACTCCCCAGGACTTCGAGTGCAAACTCCCATCTCTATAAGATCAGAGATGGCAAACTACAGAGTACAGTCCTGAAGGTTTGGCTTAAAAAAAACTAGCCATAACATTTCCTTTCCATCTCCAAAGAAAAATACATATAGAAAATTGTTAGATTTCAACCAAATAGTTGATAATATATAGGTCTTTAGATATTGCTATTACAGATATTGTAGCAAAACATTGTTAAATAGTAAACTTATTGATGTTAAAGAACACGAGAATGTTGTAAATATACATTTATATAGAATTTTTCTTTAAAGAAAAATTGTATACCTATCAGCAAAACAATATTTATATAGGATTTTGATTGGGATGTAAGAATGGTCTTATTCTATTTATATAGACAGTATAAAAGTACAGTATTTGCTAACATGGAATTATTGCCAGGAAATTTCATGAGCAAAAATAAAGGCCTCTTGAGGACTAATTGGATGGAGATTAGTACCTGGAAGGTGTCTTACAGAACAGCAGATTGAGAATTGAATATGCAAAAAGATGCTGGCTACTGCACACCTAAGCGCTTAACACTGATCATAGGCAGGAAGATAATTGTTGGTGAGTAAGCAAACTGAAACTAACAGCCCTAACCCAGCTTGCCTACTCTTTTTTTTTTCTTTTTGTCATTCTTGTATTTTGTTTGCAGATTCACAGGTGAGACCATGTGCTCTGTGTGTCAAGGTCAGACTTGGCTCTTTGTTTCTGATGTCTCTACTCTTAGGATAATGGATGCCAGTAAAGTGTTTTAAATTTCAGGGTCTTAAATTTAAAAACAAGGCTTTCTGTACTCTTCAACAGGTCTTTTGTCTGAGGTGCTTCGAATTGTGTAGAAAGATGGTCTCCGATTAAATTTTTTATTAGCCATCTCTGGGATATAATGATCTTCGTTAAATATCAACAAGAGCACCACCTCCCTGCTCTGCTTTTGCCCACAGTGTGAGAAACTGGCATCGTGCCTCATTAGCACATGTAAGGGGTTCTAATATTTCAGTTGAAGACTGAAGAGTTTCAGGGTGGGGAATGAAAGTGGGAAAGAGGCTCCTACTAACAGAGTTTCTGGAGAAACAGAGAGGAATCCTAGAAGGTACTTGAACAGAATGTGGCTGTTATAATAAATGGAAGCTGTCATCCTTTCCTTTGCTCTTAAGAAAGTATAGGAGAAGGTGAGAATTTATGCTGTAAGTTCTGTTCTGCACCTCAATATGGAAATTCACCTTTCCAAATGAGGCTTCCTTCATAATTAACCTCTCAGTTTTTGCAGTTTTCTTTATTTCCAGATTTTGGAAGATAATTCCCAAGCTCCATAAAAGATTAGAAAAATAGCACTTTTACAGAAACATTAACATATACATGGGTATAATTAAAATGGCTTTTTGGTATAATATTGTTAATGATTGGTATACAGAACAAAATGAGAAAAAAAGACAAAACGTGAGTGTTAGTTACTGTGAAATAGGCATATGTTCAGTTGTTGCCTTATTGTGCACATGTACCTAAAACATTTGCTGGATGTAATTCTAGCTGGTCTGTCCCCAGGGAGTTGAAGGAAGATGTGTGTTTGCCGGTGAGATTCAGGCTGTTTCTATGATGATGGCTTTTTCACCCTTCTACTTACAATGCCAACTTATGCAGACAGATTCCATAAGATTGTCATGAACTCAGAGATATCATTAGCCTACTATGTTAGGTGCTCTTAAATACTGGATAAAAGTTAATACAGGGATGAAAAACTAAATGAAAGAGTTCGTTGCTATGAATGGTTGGTTAACTACATTTTGCAGCGTGGACACTGACACACTATGCAGAGTGAAAACTTAGTGCTGAAGATATGAACTCTTGAACAAATTCCTTAGTTTTTGTTTTTGGTGCAGTGATGAAATCTGTACTCGAGAGTTCCTTAACATGATTGCTGGAATGTCAGGTTCTGTTAAACAGTCATCATTGATGAAAACAGCATTTTTCCAATAGAATTCAGATGTCAAAAGTTTACATTTTGTAATTTAAGAAATTGTAGAATTTAGTTGTTGTTCTTGAAGGAGTTGTATTCAAAATAGTTTTGTTTAGAGCTCTGTTGATACAGGTAATAGTCTATTCACATCTCCCCATTTAACACAGAAAGTGACTAACCCAATAGTTCAAGGAGTTAAAACTAAAAACAAAGGACATTTCACAGTGAGAGTTATTTTGATTCTGACTCCTAAGATTCGATATAATTAAGTGGCAGTGTTCTAGTGACTACAGTATAAGATGTCACAGCATAAGATGTCATACAATCTGAAACTGCAGATTTTGCTCAAAATAATCTGCAATTTACTGCATATGTGTACAAAGGGAAACAGCAGGTTATAGTTTATCTGAATAAAGAGTATTTTGAATGTTAAATTTGTTATCCCTGTGGGATCTCAGTAAGAAAGTATTTTTGCTTTGACTGTGTTAAAAAAGTAACTAAATGATCTTTGTTAGAAATGTGTATATTCATCTGCTTTAGTTTTGTAGATTAGGAGAGCTATTGATCTGATATAAAAGTAAGCATCACCCATCTTTCCAAGGCCCATCTGACTACAGGTGTTTTGTCTTTTATTTTTAAGTTGACATCCCTCCTTGCATGAACAGGCTAGGGAGGAGGGGGATGTGATATAAGTATTCATTTATATAAACCTAAGAATATGCTGTAATCTCTAGTTCCTTTGAATACCTCAGAAGTATGTTTGTTGTATTGCACTTCTACTGTTTATTTGTTTAATGTTTTAATATTACTGTTTTTGGTGCATTCTCATCATTCTTAACTCTAGATTGCAAGCTCTCAAAAGGCGGTGATCGTCTATCTGACGTGCAATTTGGCATCTAATAAATACAATTTTATGATGATGGCAAGGAGGTAAACTTTTTTTAATACTTAAGTGATTTCAGATGGTGAATTCTGAAGACTGGAGGGATTGTGGTTTGGAGAGGGTGAATAAATAATTTCATGCCACTTAATAAAGGAAGTAAAATCTCTTGCTCCCCGGAACTCAGTGGAAAATTCCAGCAGTATTCCGAGACGCAGCACTAGAGGTGGTTCTCCCAGTCTTCGCTGTACAGCAGGAGTACAGGGCCAGGTACCCGCGGCTCCACAGGGCAGCGACTGCCCGGCGTGTGTTGCCACTTAAAAGCCAGGAGTTAGGGCTAGGGGACCCGGGGAGTAGGACTCCCAGAAGGCTTCACGCGGCCTTGGGAAGATTTTGGTCTCCCTCTTATCCACCAGCCGCACAGGCCAGCGGAAATACCAATGAGAACCGGAAGCTGTGCGATCGCTTCCGGTGCCCGCTTCGATAGCGCCTGCGCACTGCTTGGGGGGGGGGGGGGGGGGGG